TTCTCCCAGAATCCTTCCCTGGAAAAAAACCAGCGCCAACCGCCCGTTTATCTGACAGTGGAAGTTATTTGTTTAACTTAAGGGGGTAGGATCCCAGGAGCCAGGGGGATTCAGGTCATTGTCATGTTTTCCACTGTTAAGCGAATAGCATTATTCACAGCTGCGGACTGTGGCAAAACACATTTTTGAAACTATTGAACTGTACTACACATACAGAAAATTGTACCTATTAGAAATATAAAGCTTAATAAGCTTTCATCAACTGTAGACCTCACATAACCAGCACCCAGATAAAGAAATAACCAGATAACTTCTTCAAGTGCATGGGTATTTTATTTCATTTTGATGAATCGTCTAGGTACCTAGCAAAAAGGGCTGTCATAACTAACATGCTCAGGAAAACTCCCTACAGCTGTAACATCAACAGATGCTTATCTTAATTTTTGCCAATCTGATGGAGAAAAAAAATCGGTTGCTTAGATTGCAGTGGTAGTCTGCTTCCTGGTAGCTTTGAGCTCATGGGTAGTCTAGACCAACTAAGTTTCTGACATTGACTTGAAGAGGCAAAAACTAAAAGACAAAACAACAACAAAAATATATTACAGAATAGACTAATAACCGAAGAAGAAATTGAATACAGTCATCCCTTAGTAACCTCAGGATATTGGTTCCAGGACCCAGGAGATACCAAAATTCACAGACGCTCAAGTCCCTGATATAATATGGCAGCAATACTTGGGGCTCCAAGTCCAGCACACAGTCCCAGCAGGGCCAGGCAGGGTGGCCAGGTTGGCACAGGCATCAGGTCCCAACCTCCTTCCCTCTTTGCCAACACTTAGACCAAGGAGTTCATATTCTCAGAGATGCTGTCCAACCTGTACTCATGTGGGGACAAGAACATGCTGATGGATGAGGTGGCGCAGCAGGCACAGTGGTGCAACGAGATGCTGTGCACACACCACATGCAGAGGGAGGCACCCAGCATCATCGGCGACATCAACGCGAACACCGTCAGCATGCCCACGGGGGTCCATGGATGACTCCTGGCTGCAGGTGCAGAGTGTCCCAGCCAGACGCAGGTACCAGGGCTGGACCCCACAGCCCCAAAGCCCCCCAGACTCCATGGATGAGCCTGTGAGCTCTTGGAAAAGGCTCCATACCCAAGGAGGCAGACGTGGGTGCTCTCTGAAGCTGTCACAGAGGGCAGAGAGCTCATGGTTTATGCTGTAGGGGCCGGGAACTTGGAGGGCATTGTGTGTGGGGCTGGACTCTGAGGTGGCCAGAGGCCCAGGAACGTCATCCTGGGCACAGTCTGAGCCATGCTGCCAGGGCAGGGTATCCAGCTCCCAGCCTGGGAGTGCCGAGAGCCGAATCCACTGCAGAGCAGCGGTGATAGTCAGGGTCCCACCTCCTCTATCTGTTGGCAATCCAGTGGCGATCTAGGATAAAATATTGAGAGTCCCATACACATGGTGATCCCACAACACACCTCACAGGCCAAGCACGAACACACAGCCCCCGTCCCTCCCTCCCAGGTACCATCATAGCTGCTAGCGTGTGACTGAAGGCAGGGTCTCTGGCCCCCGCTGAAGCACTCCTGCCAGCCAGGGGGCTCCTGCACCTTGGCCTGTTGCTCCTAGGGGTTGCCTGTGCTATTCAGCCAAGGGGATCACAGTGCCCGCCTGCCCAGCTGAGCTCCACCTAGCGAGCCCACCAGCCTCCCCTGACACGGACCCTGCCTCTTCTGATTTCCCAGCAGGAAGGACCCAGCCTCACCTATAGGACCTGTAGCCCCCCCTCAAGCAGCTGATGCTCCCCTCTTAGATTTATAAGTCTATGGCTAGTGGCATATGCCCTCCCTGTCCTACCCAGGGTCTGGGTCTTTCTGACCACCCAGGGAGGCCTCTGGCACTCACTCCAGCCATCTATCCCTTTTAGTTTCACCATCCTGAGTCAAGCAGTGTTCCTTCTCTATCAGGCCTGGTGGCTGTTGGGTGGGGCTCCCCAAGGTGAGAAGTGGCCCTGGGCCAGTGGGTTGGAAGAGAGGGTGACCAGAGAAGGGGGAACCCCGAGGGGGCTGAGCATTGGTCTGAACTGAGGCGCACCTCCTGGGTACTGTGGGTCAGGCCAGTGTGTGTGGGCTGGGGAAGGCCGCCGCAGCCCCCAAGCACTACCTGTGAAGCTGCGGCTCCTCCCTCCATCTTCCTCCCCTTTCCCTTCCAGTCCCTCTTTTCCAGGAACCTTGCCACACCTGCACCTGCGCCCACCCCTCCGCAGCCCTCCCACAGCTGCTGCAGCACGCCCGTGCTCTGTGCTTGCCTCACCAGCTCTCTGCTCACTTTTCTCTCTCCTATTTTCTCTCTGCTTCTCTCCAACTGCCAGCTGATCGGGTCAGGAAGTTCATCCGGACCTGAGAGCCCCAGCCCCACTTCGACCTCTAAACAGATCCTCCTCTTCTCGGAGAACTCCCTTTCCAAGCCTGCCTGGGCGAGTGTCCTGTAACTTGACAGTGGCTCCCCAACCCCAAAGCCAGCCCCCTTCATCTGTGACTTAGTCTGTTGTAGTGCTGAGCTGACACATCCAGGTGTGACTGTTGTTGAAAACTTGTGC